AGAGTGTGTGTGGCGCTGCCTTTGCCTCTTGCCATGGCTATTGCCATTGATTTGATAGGGTTCCTAAAATAAATGATGCACTCATTTCGGATTGCTTAGTTAATTTCTTCGCTTGTAGCTTGTTGCGTGACTTGTTGTTGTCTTGGGGCGTAGCGGACCTTGTTCGCTGTGGCTGTCGCCATATCGCCATCGACGATGAAAAGGTCATGCGGAAGGAAATCAGTCGAAAGCAGCAACCAGTAAAGACAATAGCGAGCGCAGCGAAAAATTGATTGACAATTTTCGAAATGGCAATCGATCGCTCGATCGATCGCCAAACAAGTTGGCAACTCTCCGCACTAGCACACACACACACACGCACACGCGAAAATACATACGCATACGCACACTCACTATACCCATCCCTCTCTGTTGAAGCAAAAGAACTTTTGGACAGAGAGTGAAATCCGAATGAATCAAAAAACGGGGAAAGCGCATTGAAGGTAACGGTGTGACAGGGCGGGGCGTGAGGCGGTACGGTGCGGGGGCCATGGGAACGGAAAGAAGGCGCATGCAGAGGCAAACAGAAACAATGAAATAACGGTCAGCCAATTTCTGTACACATGTATAAGCGTGTGAGTGATAAGGATGACATGATGTTGATGACAAACCGCAATATGCAATGGCAGTCTGATAACATTTTGGATTGTCGAAATCTACGCAGCAATGGACGGACGAACATGCGACAGAGTCGGGGTAAAGTTAGAGAGTCCCACAAGTGTCTGTGTGTCGTCTGAATGTTGGTACATTTTACATACATATGCAATTGTATAGATCTCACAAATGTTCTTCATTTCTAGCCATTAACATTCACACACACAGGCAAATACACGTTTTTTAGTAAAACAATTGAAAACAAACACAAAAGGTAGGACACCTTCCAATGCTCTTTCGCCTTTTATTTGCCGCACAATGGGAGCAATCATGCGCGCTGCACGAACCTCATCTCCCCCAGTCGAGTGTACTATTTTCTGCAAGGGTAGGGTATTGTAAAATAGAGCAACACTCCAGCAAAACGGTGACAGAGAGGTGCCAGATCCAGATGTGCATGCTTGTATGTATGTGTGCCTACGGTGGACGGATGCACCTAGATGGGACGCTGCCTGCTGCTGCTTCTGCTGCTGGGTAAGAATATTACGCAAGGCAGAACTGCACAAGAACAGCTGACACGGCGGCAGCGGGCGGGCGGACGGCCACAAGGTGTCAAGCTGCAGTCGCCACTGTGCGTTTAGGGTATGTGTACACACACATGCATGCACACATTGAGCTAGTGTGCGAGCGAGTGAGCCGACAAGTGGGACAAACAACAGAAAAAAGAGCAACGATAAAAGCAACCTAGAGTTTGGCGACTTACGCAGCCTGGCACCAAAAATTATAATAATAATAATAAAATTGTCTGCAGCAGCAAATGCAGGAAAGCAGAGCATTGGCAAATAGATGATTAGTCGGGATTAAATTGGGCAAATTTGCGAGAGTGAACTCTGTAAGTGCGGGAAGTTTTTACATACATACATATATTTTCATGTATTTGTATATGTATATGTTTGTAGGTATGTTTTTCTGTTGCCATGGTGGTGCACTCTTCACGCTGCCTTGCACCTTGGCTACCTTGCTGTTCACTCCCTTGCGTGCCCTTTACCATTTACCACAGACACGACACCACACACGCACACACTTGCACACAGTCCAACACATATATATGCTGCATAGAGCGCAGGCACATATCCCATCCCACTCACACCTCGGGGTCCCTCTTAGGGGCAACGGACTGCCTGCCGCCAACCGCCCGCCGATCAGCTGACACATGGATATGAACCAGTCGCCGCACTCTCCTCTCTCTCTCTCATCCTTCTTACTACGAATGAGTACTCACCAATCTTGACAAACTCCTGCGGTGTACGACCACCGGCGATTAGCCAGCGTATCCACTCGATGTTGTCGGGATTATCGATGGGCGTGCCTGGATTGAAGAGCGTATCCATAATGGAGTCCAGATCGGGTGTGGGACTGCCGCGGCAGCACTCTGTGTTGATGAGGGCGGCCACCTCCTTGCGGCTGCGTAGGCTGAATGAGGAGGTGCCAAAGAAAAAGCTCGGCTTGGCGCCAGCATCCTCGCCAGCTGCTGCTGCTCCAGCAGCCGAACTCCCGGTTCCATAGTGTCCACTGCTATTTGAGCTGCTGCCACTGCCAGTTGCACCGCCTTCCGCACTTGAGTACTTGTCATGCAACGGCGAACGGGAATTGCCAGCTCTAGCTGCTGTGGCAGTGGCAGTGCCACTCCCTTCCCCAATCGTGCGGGAAGAGGCGGCGGTAGCAGCGGCAACGCCACCGGCACCTACAGACACATGGCCCGCCGCCTGCACATAAACCGATGACAAATCCACATCGGAATCGTCGTCGTCATCCTCATCCTCGTCTACCATGGGCTGGACCATGGCCCGTGCCCTGTCCCCATCATCGTCCTCGTCATCGATGCTGATATCGGCATTTGACAGGTTGTCATCCTCGTCCATGCCTGTTCCTGTTTGTGGACCACCTTCTGCTTCTGCGTTGTTTTGTATTTTGGTGACGTCGCGGACGACGTCGCTACTCTCGGGCGATTCTCTAGGAAAAGATGCCCAGAGATCCACGCCGATTCTGCTTCAGCTTCTTTGGGTGTCTCGTCTTGCGTCCGTCTTTTCGTTCCGTTCGGACTTTTCTTTCTTTTTTTTCAAACAAGTTTTTTCTTTGCCGTTCTTCTTCTTCCTATACTACTGCCTCGTTGAGCAGCAGTCGGTGATTCTTTTTTGGTTTTTTTTTTTTTTTTTTTGTGTGTGTTTGGCTCGGCTTAAACTTTAGTATAGAATTCACTAGAGAATTTAGACGTTTAGATGCACGGGAATGTAATCCCTAAAAGTGATTACGGAGAATTTCACAACACCGAACGAGAACACACTTGACTTTGACTCACTACTCACTGACACTGGGGATTGCTCAGCTCGAGCCGCTCCAACATCTCCGCCTTCTGTGTTCTATGTTCTTCGCTCTCTTGACGTTGTTCGCCCGACCTGCTACATCCCGTCCGTCCTGTGAATGGGGACGGTACGACACGGTGCAGTCGCACTCTGGACTCGGACTCGGTCTCAGACTCGGACTCGGATGGGGTCCGTCGCGTGGGAGGATTTCGATTTTACGCAATTTTCACGGCACTTTATCCAGGAGTTTTAGTGAATAAGAAATCGACACATATACTTATCAAGCACCAATACCCTCACGCACACTCACAAATATAACCAAATATATTATTCGTGCATTGAACTTGCCAATTACGATTATTTTCTCGTATTATCCATCAATTGGCTGCACTCGTCGGCTGTCCCGTGTCTGATGCTATAAATTGCGTATTATTGATGTTGCTAAGGTCCTCGCTAGTGCCTTTATTACTGCAAATTTTGATTTGCTCTACGAACCTACACACCACAGGCTGTATAATTGTATATGTATATGAATTTTATCTGCAATGCTATGCGGAGCTGATGGCCAAATAGCCAGTCACAGAGAGGCGTCGACACGATGACGAAAAAGAAGAAGAACTGCTCGATAAAAGTAGCCTGCTATCGAAATAAAGGTGCCGATTCGTGGTAAATACCACCCTGCTGCTTGGCCTGGCCAGGTTACCGGTAATCAAAATGCAGCTCGCCTAGCATACCATTCCAATCCCCCATCAACAGATTCAAATACCGAGTTCCCGCCCAAGACTCTCCAATGCCGAATTGCACTCACTTTTCAGATTTTTTGTATTTCTTCTACATTATCAGATGTATTCATAGTTATATAAAAAAAATAACGCAGCACCTTGCTTCTATTGAATCTCGTACATGCGAGTGCATATAAGACCAGAGCCGATACAATGAGGAACAAGCAATGTACAGACGTTTACAGACGGCGACCACGACGACCGCCCTTCCTGCGGGTGGAATCGGATGGAATTGGAGTGACATCCTCAATGCGGCCGATTTTCATCGACGAGCGGGCCAAAGCGCGCAGAGCGGACTGGGCACCGGGTCCGGGGGTCTTGGTCTTGTTGCCACCAGTAGCGCGCAGCTTGATGTTCAGGGCAGTGATCCCAAGTAACTTGCACTTCTCAGCAACGTCCTAAAAAGGAAAGAAAGGCTGATTAGAAGGGTATTTCTTTTGAATTGTGGGCAATAATTACCTGAGCAGCCAACATAGCGGCGTAGGGAGACGCCTCGTCGCGATCAGCTTTGACCTTCATGCCGCCGGTGACGCGGGCAATGGTTTCGCGCCCGGACAAGTCCGTAACGTGCACAAATGTGTCGTTGAAGCTGGCATAGATGTGGGCCACTCCGAAGACGATCTCACCGTCGCGCACCTGGGGTCCCAGCGAGACCTGCACTTCCTCCTTCTGAACTTTAGCCTTTCTGGGAGCCATTCTGCAGTGTGTGGTCGATCAGCAGCTGTTGAGGAGAAGTAAATGCGAAACACACAGTTCAGTTGTCTGCTTTTAGGTCACTATGCGGCGATGTCACTAGCAAAACAACAACAAAAATTCGGCACCATAACAAACATATAACAAAATAATTTGGCGGCATCGACCCTGCCCAATGGCATTTTGTCAGTTTTGAATTTAAGTTTGCATAGTCAATCGTTAGCACTAGTTGCTGCATATTGCCGTTTGTGCCGATCAGTTCGAAAACCGTATTATTTTTATTAATGTAAGAGGGAGAGAATCACAAACGAACCAAATGCGTTAACCGGATACGAAAAAAGAAAGCGACAACTTCACAGCTGATTCAGCGATGGAATGGATGTCATGACAGGGCTGCATTTCAGGGCTGCAACTTCTATCGGTGGCTGGTGCAAAATACGACAGCCCTGCAAAATATAGCCAAATTTGTAAACATTCGCAAAAATGTTAACAAAAACCAATATTTTACCCCAAATAATGTGTAAAAATTGAATTTACCGCTTACATAAGGTTCTTCAGCTTTATTACAACGTATATATGCATGGAAAATCTATTTTTACATACATAAACGCGATATTTTTGTAGTTTCAATAATGAAAAACACTTCAAAGAATTCGCACCGCTTAGAGACGGCGACCACGACGACCGCCCTTCCTGCGGGTGGAATCGGATGGAATTGGTGTGACATCCTCAATGCGACCAATTTTCATCGACGAGCGGGCCAAAGCACGCAGAGCGGACTGGGCACCGGGTCCGGGGGTCTTGGTCTTGTTGCCACCAGTAGCACGCAGCTTGATGTGCAAGGCAGTAATGCCGAGGGTCTTGCACTTCTCAGCAACATCCTGGGAAGACAAACACGCGCTTAGATTTGGGTTGCACTTGATTTAGATTGACACTAACCTGAGCAGCCAACATAGCGGCGTAGGGAGAAGCCTCGTCACGATCAGCCTTGACCTTCATGCCGCCGGTGACGCGGGCAATGGTTTCGCGCCCGGACAAGTCCGTAACGTGGACAAAGGTGTCGTTGAAGCTGGCATAGATATGGGCCACTCCGAAGACGATCTCACCGTCGCGCACCTGGGGTCCCAACGAGACCTGCACTTCCTCCTTCTGAACTTTAGCCTTTCTGGGAGCCATTGTGAAGTTGTAAGTCGATCAGTAGCTGCATGGAAAGTATAATGGAATGCAAATGTTTTTATAAATGGGTCTGACATAGATCACAAACAAAACAAAAAAAAAATTTCACAACAAAAATTAACCAAATACGTTCATGCTGGGCATTTTGGGTTGGTTTTTCATTAGGGCCACCAAGGAGCCGCCACCGGCACATATTAATTGAGCCTTAAGCGGCTTTAAAGTGCAATTTTTTACAAAAAATTGGTAGAAAAAACATTAAACAAACCACTTGCGTGAACCGGATATCAAAAAAGGAAGCTGTCGTAGCTGTCAGAAATCCAGGGTTGATTTTCAGTCACATAGGTATGGGTAGAAGGCCCGCCCAGCTCATGGTTGCATTTTACTATCGAACATATTTAATCCACACAATATCTGCAATAGTATCGATATGAACCGCAACTCTTACTTTCGATAGATATTTTCCATTATCACAAGACTCAAAAAAACAAAACAATACAAATTAAGTCTTAGCCTGGACAACGGCCTGCCTCCGTGCGTGGAAAAATAATAAAATAAAAAAGCATAAGTATAATGTCGTGGGTTGCCGACTACGAATATACATGGGCAGAGAGGATTTCCATGCGGGCCCTTAGGACCTGTGGCCACATACCGAAACACGTCGCCTTCGTCATGGACGGCAATCGTAGATTTGCCCGCTCTCAGCAGATAGATAAGATAGAGGGACACTCGCGTGGCTTCTCGAAGTTAGCGGACTGCCTCCGCTGGTGCCTGGACCTGGGAATAAACGAGGTGACCACTTTTGCCTTCAGCATCGAGAACTTTAAGCGGTCCAGCGAAGAGGTCGAGGGCCTGTTCAACCTTGCTCGGGACAAGTTTGCAAAGCTGCTGAAGGAGACTGACCGTCTGAACCAGCACGGGATTCGTATCCGGGTGATCGGCAACATTGGACTGCTGCCGCTGGACCTGCAGGAACTCGTTGCCACTGCCATGCTGAGTACGGAGGTCAACGACAAGCTCTTTCTGAACGTAGCCTTTTCCTACACCTCTCGCGACGAGATCACCCAGGCGCTGGAGACGGTGCTACAGCAGGGCAATAGTTTCATCAGCGGGAGTAACATAAGCGAGCGCCTCCTGGAGGAATGTATGTACACGCGGCACTCTCCTGCCCCGGATCTGATCTTTCGGACCTCGGGCGAGACCAGGCTGAGTGATTTCATGATGTGGCAGGTGGGTAAAAGTCACAGTACCAGACTATTGCATCAGCATTCATTGGGTTCACTGTTTCAGCTAAGCGGATCGGTTCTGTACTTCAGCAATGTCCTGTGGCCGCAGATAACGTTCTGGAACTTTTTGGCCAGCATCCTAGCCTACCAGCGGGACAGATACCGGCTGGAAAAGTTTAGGCGGGCGGAACAAATTCAGAGCGCACAATTAGCCAGGACGAGCGACTTCCACAGCGAGCGGGTGCAGCAGTTTCTGCAAAGCATGGATGAGGATCGGCGAAAACTGCTTGTCCGGCTGGCCTCCAGCAAAATGTGTTAGATAATTGTACATAAACTAATAAAAAATATTGAAATGCCACACATATTGTTTTTATTTTGAACAACGAGGTTGCCACTGCTCTGCGATAGTCCGTGGGGACTTACTATCGCGGTGTAGCAGATGGTGTATAGTATCGATAGTAGCAACGATTGTTTTACAACTCAACTTGCTGCTACAAACGCGTTTTTTTTTGTTGTACAAATCTAAAAACACGAATAGAATTAGTTTTGAGCGTTTTGAGAATTGTTACCACCTCCGTACGCTTTAGATAGTTTTAATATAACTTTCTAGTGAAAGATTGAAAAATAATTAATACCTCGCCAATCCACGGGCGTGAGCGTAACGACGACGGGAGAGTACAAAAAAAAAAACCGAAGAGGTAACGAGCAAATCGGACGAAAAAAAGCATAAAACCAAATACCAATATAAGCGTACGCATACATGCAACAAAAGTCATCAAGTCGAGTTTAAAAGAGCTGCGAAAATTTCGCAAAGTGCAACCACGGGAAAAAAGGTAAGTCAAATGCATTTCTTGTATGTGCGGCTGTTCTCGGCCTTTACTCTCTCAGTGGTGCTCTCGTCTACTCTATCCCTTTCTCGCTCAGACCATGCATTTTGCCGTAGCGATGCTGTATTGATTTTTTCTCCGTGGTGGGTGGGTTCGGGATGCGGTCAACCTGAGCCACACGCTTTCCTTGCCAGCGAATCAATTTTGGGCAGAGTTGCGTTTCATCCGCTGCATCTTCCTAATCATATTTGTGCTCAGGCTCAGGCAGGAATAGAGAGAGAGAAAAACAGAGATGGATGGCATGCAAGAGTGCTGATGGCTGAACAGTTATAAAAGTGCAAAGTCGCACTCTCTCTTTAATTCCGTTACTTCTCTCTCTCTCCCACTCTCACGCTGTGTGGTTTGTGTTGTGTGTGTGTGTGTGCGTGCGTACGTGCGTGCGTGTGTGTCGTGTGAGCGGGTGCTTGTGTGTTTATTTTACTTTACTCTTCCTCTCTCTCTGTTTTTTCCCGTTTTACTAGCAACAGGAGCAGACGCACCATCATTCACAAATCGATCGCAAAAGCCGAGCATAACAGACAGACATGTATGCCGGAGCATATGCACCCAACACTGGCGGCGTACAGCAGCACACAGGAGGCGGCTACTACGGCAATGGGGCCGTGGCTGGTGCTGGCGGCAATGGTCAGCGTCGCGACCGTCTTTGCTATCCACGCAACAATTTTGCCGGCGCTGGCAGCGGGGCCGCTTCGTTGAACGGAGCCGCTGGAGCAGCTGGCGGCATGCACTTTAGCCAGCACTATGGTGTGATGGCCTACGGCATACAGAGCGGCATCAGTATGGGTGGCGGTGGTGCCGGGACCGGAGGCAATCCGTATCGCGGCGGAAACACCGTACAGAATGGCGGTGCCTTTGGCAATGGAGTGGCTGGCGGTGGCGCCAGCTTCCAAGGCGGACTGCACGGAAAGAGTCCCAGCTACACACAACGCTACCAGAAGCCGCACAACGGAGGCCTCGGCAACGGGGGCGGCGGCGGTGGTGGCTATCAGGCCGGCGGCTACAACGCCGCGGCGCTGGGCATGCTTTCCAAAGAGGAGCGTGCCGAAATCCAGCGCGAGAAGGCCAAGAATCCGGGCCGCAACCTGGTCAAGCCCAAGTGGGAGCAGCTGCAGCCCTTCCCCAAGAACTTTTATGTCATCCACCCGAATACGTTGAACATGTCGGAGCAGGCCGTGGCCGAGCTGCGTCGCGAGCTGGAGATAACTGTCTCTGGCAATGACCTGCCACACCCGGTGGCCAATTTTGAGGAGTGCTCGCTGCCGGCGCACGTCATAGACGAGATGAAGCGACAGGGCTTTACCAAGCCCACGGCCATCCAGTCCCAAGGCTGGCCCATCGCCCTCAGCGGCCGCGACCTGGTCGGCATTGCTCAGACCGGGTCGGGCAAGACGCTGGCCTACATGCTGCCGGCCATTGTGCACATTGGCAAACAGCCGCCGATACTGCGCGGCGAGGGACCCATCGCCCTGGTGCTGGCACCCACTCGGGAGCTGGCCCAGCAGATCCAGTCGGTGGTGCGTGACTACGGCCACCTCTGCCAGCCGGAGATCCGTCACACTTGCATTTTCGGTGGCTCCTCGAAGGTGCCGCAAGCCCGCGACTTAGAGCGCGGCGTCGAGGTTATTATTGCCACGCCGGGACGGCTGATCGACTTCCTGGAGAACCGCAACACCAACCTGGCCCGCTGCACCTATCTGGTGCTGGACGAGGCCGATCGCATGCTCGACATGGGCTTCGAGCCGCAGATCCGCAAGATAATCGAACAGATCCGCCCCGATCGACAGGTGGTCATGTGGTCTGCCACCTGGCCGAAGGAGGTGCAGGCCCTGGCCGGAGATTTCCTCAACGACTACATCCAGATCAACATTGGGTCGATGAACCTCTCGGCCAACCACAACATTCGCCAGATCGTCGAAATCTGCACGGAGATGGAGAAGCCGCAGCGCATGGTGCGGCTGCTCAAGGAGATCGCTCCGACCAACAATTCGGCCAACAATGGCAGCAAGATCATCATCTTTGTGGAGACCAAGATCAAGGTGGGTTGTGGAAACTTTCGCAAGCTCAAGTACGCGTACAGGCTGTAGGCTAACGTTATTTTCCCTCCTTTCCCGTTTCTGTTCTGTTTAGGTGGAGGACATCTTGCAGATCATCCGCACCGAGGGCTATATTGCCACTTCGATACACGGGGACAAGACACAGAATGAGCGCGACTCGGTGCTGAAGGACTTCCGCAATGGCAAGTCCAACATATTGATTGCCACAGATGTGGCCTCGCGCGGTCTCGATGTCGAGGATCTGCAGTATGTGATCAATTACGATTATCCAAACTCGTCCGAGAACTATGTGCATCGCATCGGACGAACCGGACGCTGCCAGCAGCTGGGCACTGCCTACACCTTTTTCACGCCCGACAACGCGAAGCAGGCCCGTGAGCTCATCTCGGTTTTGGAGGAGGCGGGTCAGACGCCCTCGCAGGCCCTGCTCGATCTCGCCCGCTCGATGCCCAGCTCGGGCAACTATCGTGGCAATAAGCGCTGGAACAGCGCCGGCAACACCGGCGGCGGCGGCGGAGGTGGCAGCTACAACAACGGTGTCTATCAGCAGCGTGGAAATCCGCTCAACTATCAGGCCGGTGGAGGATACAACAACAATCGCGGGGGTGCCGCAACCGGTGGCTACCAGCAGTATGCAGCTGGCGGCAACGGTTACCAGCAGAATGGAATCAGCGCCGGAAACTGGAACCGCATGAACCAGCTGGGACAGGATGGCGGCAGCCGCAACGGGAGCACTTACCGCCCACGCGCCCCCTTCAACAATGGGGGTCCGCGTGCCATTATGGGACATCAGGGCGGTGGCGCCGGTGGTGCAGGAGGGGGCAGCCCACAGCCGCATTTGGGCCAGCAGGGCGGACCCTTCATACAGCAGGCGTACCGCAGTCGCGGCCAGTTCGTACCGCCGAATGCCGCCACCGGAGGCATGCCACCGCGCTTCCAGCAGTTCCCCAAGCGCGATTACCAGCAGCAGGGTGTGCCCCAGCAGCACTACCAGCCGCAGCCGCAGCCGCAGCAGCAGCAGGCGGGCCAGCAACAGCAGAAGTCTTCGAAGGATGAGAAGTATGCACAGCAGCCGGCCACAGTGGCCGGGTCCATGGTACACTATTCGCCCACCAATTCGCCGCCGATTGCGACCGTGACCGCAGCAGCAGCAGCTGTGGCTGGACGCGCCACCGTGTCCGCTGGGCCGGGGGCTGCTTACATGTACGACACCAACGGTGTGCTGACCACCACCGCTGCTCCGGGCACCAATCCGTATGCCAATCAGTTCAGCATGCCGGCCACCTACTATACGGCCCAGCATCACCAGTTCACGGCGACCGTGGCTGGTCCGGGACCGGGTCCGGCGGCTGCCATCGAGCAGGCGGGTCAGCATTAGGACTGCCTTATTATGCAGCCACCCACACAACAGCCGTAAGAATGACACCAATAACAAATAACAGCAGCAGCAGCAGCAGCAACAACAACAACATCAACAACACGGACACAAAATGGCAACAATTACTGAAGGAAGGATAGAAAAAGGAAAAACATTTGCAGGAGGAGCACGAGCACGAGCACTCGCTAATCGCTACTGGCTACTCGCTAATCGCCGCTACTCCACACACACTCGATAGATAGCTCGTTCGATCGGACATTTTGGTTTCGTCTCTCAATCTTAGTTATATTTCATATTCTCTGTTGGCTGTATATACATATGTATATGAGCAAGCGGGATGACAGCAGTGCAGAAGCTGCTGCGGCCACACAACATCAACAAAACACGGGGTAAGAGACCGCGAGTGCAGCCGTACATAGTGCTTTAATAATCGTATACTCTATACATCCCCATTCCATCCATTCCTCTAACCCATTCCAGACAAGGCGCAACAGCAACAGCAACAGCAGCAGCAGCAGCAGAATCTGGAGCAGCACTTCATCATCGCCATCCTCGACCTCCATGATGAGGTAACGAATCAAAAGAAAAACAAAAAGAACGTTGATAGTTATTAGTTATAGTTTCCCACTCTCGCATGTCCGGTTTTTTACTTTTCGGAACGCACAGCAGTCGCGAATCTAAAATGTAATCAAAATTGTTTCATATGTTTTGTTTTTTAATGTGTAAACCAAAACCAAACCTACACAAACTCACAGACAAACACACACCAACACACACAAACACCGTTATACCGTTATACCGTTGATAACAAAAGTGATATTCATGTTTAATCATGTACAAAAAACCACAAGAAAGTAACTTTTTTTGTTACTTTTCAATGTAATATACGTTGGAAGGGGACTTCCCTTTCAACAAAGCCACTTGGTTGGTAGGAAAATAACGGTTTACTTGAAAAACAACAACAACAACACACACACAAAAACACCGAAATTTGCAACAAACAGACACACAATTACAACAAAATGAAAACCGATCGAAT